AGCAGACGCTGAGTTGGAATCCAAACTGTGATGTACTCAAACACTGTATGTTCTGATGATCAGGGCCTTCTTATTTGCTGAAATGAGGTTGTGTTTGTTTTCAAAGATGTTGACACCCATATTTCAATAGATGGCTATTCATGACCCTGGATGAGCCTTTGAACGTGTGATATGTGGAGATGGTGGTGGTGAAGGTGGCTGAAGATAAAAATGTCTCAACAAAAGAAAATGAAACTCATCAGAAATAGTAAGCAGGAAACTACAAGGAAGTAAATGAAATGTAACCATGCCTTTTTACGGGGACTAGGATTATGAGGACCATTGCACTTGATAAAGCATGTTCACATGCACTTAGCTCATCCTAGTTTTGCAAGAATCCCACACAGTATCAAGTTTCTGTGATCCAAGCTTGGGAGGTAGAGTAGCCAGGCTCCAAGGACATGTGGTTATTAATGGGGAACTGACACCCTCTGGACTCCAAAGCCATTGCTCTGTCCACCAAGTTGTACTTCTCTTCATGTGTGTGTGTGTGTGTGTGTGTGTGTGTGTGTGTGTGTGTGTATGTGTGTCCAAGCCCTTCTTGTGTGCAGAAGTTCCATCATGGGAGTTTATAGGAAGGCAAGAATATAACTGTTTATCTCTGTTTTTACTAGGGCCCTAAGAAGCTGGGCTATAAATCCATGAAAACTACAAGGAATTGGCTCTAGTTTAGCTTTAGCTCATATATAATATACATAAATTTTTAGCTGAGGGCCCACCACAGTCATTGCAACCATTCAACAAATGACAATTATTAATCTAATATGTGTGTGTGTGTGTGTGTGTGTGTGTGTGTGTGTATGTGTGTGTGTGAGAGATACTGGCCTGTGTACAGAAACCCACCTGTTTGTAGATAAGAAAGCCAGATACTTGGCTCAGAGCCAAGGGCTGTTAGCTTTGTCCAAACCCAAATACATCTTCCAGTACCAGTCTGATTCTAGTTTTTCTAATTCATCACAGACTGCTTTCTGAACTCCAGTGCCATTGCTCTGTCCACCTAAATATACTTCTAATTCTTCACTTGGTTATGAATTTGCTAATTAGGAAAATTCAGAGAATTTTAGGTCTGAATCAAACAGAGTATGGTGTGGGTATTTCAGAGAACTAAGATCCCCTTAGTTTATACTCTTGGGTAGGATGATTAAGCCACATTCTAGGGGTGATATGTCAGGCAATTTATAACTGCTGAGCACCTATGAGAGCAAGACTTTTTATATATTCAATCCCATACAATCTTCACAAATAGCCACATACATAGGTATCATTCATATTTTGTGCATTTTGTACACACACACACACACACACACACACAAAGTCATCAGAAGCTGAGGTTCAAAGCCAAGACTGCCTGACTTCAAAGTCCAAGCTCTTTCCATTACCCACAATTCAGCTGTGTGACAAATTCTCTGACTAAAACATTGGTCAGATTCCTTAGTCCTTTCTGACTAGGTCAGACAGTAAGCTTTGCTCTGTCCTTTGACAGTAAGTTCTCTCTTTTTCTCCATGCAAAACCTATTCTGAGAAACACTTCTGCTAAGTCAGTTTAGCAAACTTCCCTCACTTTTGATATCTGACCACCTTGAAATCTTATTATCTAGTTTAATAATCATACCAACTTAGTTCAGCCAGAAACCCCTCATTTTGTTTATTTACTTATTTTATTTATTCATTTAGTTTTTGCCAGTCCTGGGGCCTGAAGTCTGGGGATGGGGAGAAGTGTAGTTGTGGAGGTGGGAGGGAAGGGATGGTAGGGGCAAAACAAAGGAGGAGGCAACAATGCTTGCTAAGAAATGTACTCATTACCTTGCTCATGTAACTGTAATCCCTCAGTATAGTATTTTCACAATAAAAAAACATATAAAAAAAGAGTCTCACAGACTTTCCTGCCCAGGCTGGCTTTGAAGTGAGATCCTCACATCTCAACCTTCTGAGTAGCTAGGATTACAGGCATGAGCCACTGGTGCCCGGCTTATTTTATTTATTTTTAGTATTTTCCTATCCACTGCTCCCCATATGTTCTTGTTGGCATTGAATCCATTTTCTGAAGAATCACCATAGTGTTCCTGATACCTATGGCCATGTCCCCCCTCCCTCTTGAATAATGTCTTTCTCATTATCTTCATCTGTTTCATGAACATCTTTTTTTCTTTTTTTGATTACAATAAGTTTTTTTTCATTAATACCTCGATCACACAAGCAACTTATTCCCACTTCCACAAGTGGACTTCACTCCGAAATGTAAAGTGTGAGGTTTACAAATATGTGCATATTGTTTGGAGTTTAAGTGGATCAGGAAGGTAAAGACAGGGCTGGTCAAGAGCATGGTAGATAATGTTGTAAGTTCTTTCTTGAACACGTTTGCCCATTATGTCCTGGGTCCTGACTCAAACAGTGGAAAGAGTCAGGGTGTTGCAGCACAAAACCTAGAGAAGGAAATGCCAGAAGAAACCCTTACTATAAAAACTGCTCTCTGAGAGTACTCCATTAGACTCCTCTTTGAGGTCCCTCTTCAAATGGAGTTTGTCTACTTTCCTTTCAGGACTTTCACTTTCAAATAAACTTACTATATTTACCTTAGGAAAAAAAAGAAGCTGCGTGGCCTGGGGAGGAAGAGTATTCACTAACATTGGACACCATCTTGGCGTCCTCTTCTTGTCTCTTTTCTGGGTGTGATATGTCCTGGCCTCCACCAGCCTCACCTATGACTTTCTTCCAAAAGACCTCTGGGAACATTTCTGCAATCCAGGTCCATGGGAACACATGCAGAGGATGAGCAGGAAGGGGAGGGTGGTGAGGGCTCCAACAGTTCCCAAAACCTTCTCCTGTGTCTAGCTGCCCCTACCCTCAGGGACCTTTGAGACACTGGCATCTCCTTCCTGGTAGTGAGGTGATTCAGAGCCCAGGCATGTTGGAGGCTCAATTTTAGTATCAGCTGGACCTAATTAACCTTGGTGGGGGCCAGGCCTTTACACAGGCCTACATTGTTCCCAGGAACCTGGCAGGAATGTTTATCTTTGCAGAAACTGAGAGGCCTGGCTCTCTTCCTCTTGGCCTCAAGGCTGTCCTCCCTTCAGATGCTAATCCGCAAAGCCATTTGAGGCCAGACCTCAGATGAAGCTCAAGGCTGGGGCAGGAGCCTAAACTCTCCTTTCCCTCAGGAGAAAGGCAGGTGTGAAATCAGCACTTGGAAAGCAGCCAAATGGAAACCTAGAGCAGCAGCTCAAACTGTCACATGTCAAATAATTTAATTGGGTAATCATCTGAAGAAGGGCTTCGTGCAAAACATAGGCAGGAAGTCTGCTGACTGTGAGGGACTAATCCGAGAAGACGTTCTGTCTGCCCGAGCCTGCCTCAGCCTCACTCCACTGCAGGCCTAAGACTTGGATGGAAAATTCTTTGCAAGGAGGCTCTAGAAAAAGTCTCTGGCAAGACTCCTGGGCAAACATTCCTGGCACTACAATGGGACACCAAGCCCACTGTCTATCAAATGGCTCACAGTCCTGTGTAAAAGAGTATGGTAAATGAAGTGTAGTGGTCCTGGCTATATGGTTCAGGTTGTGCCCTGGCTTTGATAGTTACAGGCTGTGTGATTTGGCAACTTCTTTCTCTGTGCATCAATTTTTGCATTTGCAAATGGGATGATAGTAGTTCGTGTGTCCAGAAGAAGTGCAACAAATAAGATATGTAAAGATTCTTTAGGATAGCATTTGGCCTTCCGGATTATATTTTTCTCCTCATTCCACCTCATCTGTAGGTTTCCTGTTGGGACCGGGCATGCCTATTTTTCACACGTGTGCCCAGCTTCTATAGCACCCTGTCTACCTCACCCAGGGATGTCCTGGTTTTCTGGGGTGAATGGCTTCAGGGACCTGTTATTACTCACATGGAACCCCATTCTGCTGTCACTGCCTTGTTCATTGCTTACCGACTAGAGGACCAATAATGGGGTCTAGACCTAGGTCTGAAACAGTTCCCCATTAATCCAACTCCCTCCCCTTGTTGGTGATTAGAAAATCAAAGACTTCCTCTTGGTTGGGTGAAACCCCTTGCTCAGTCTGCTCAGCTCTTCTGCAACATCTTATTTCACCCCAAATGTTCCAGGAACTATTCTAATGAGTGCATGGAGAGGTATTCTTGGATCAGTGTAGACCCTTTTTTGTCTTAGTTCTTCACATCCATCTTTCATGGTCGAGTCAAAATTAACAAAAGCTATCATAGATCCATGATGACATGACATGCTTCCCATAGAACACATGAATTACAAACACTGATATATGCATTCTGTATGAATGCAAATTATACATCTGAGCACATAATGTATTTGTATATTCTAACATAGGTTAGGTAACTCCTTTGTCTTTAATGTGGGAACTATGTATTTATAATAGCGAGTAACCATTCACTGAGAACGTTTGAATATTCTTTCATTATTTTCCTTTTCAAAACTATTCTGTACTCAACATAAATAAAACGGAGTGCTTTTTGGAGAAAAATGTCCCCCCATGCCCTGCCCTTCTCCAAATACTTTAGCTCTGGAAGAAAATACAATGCTAAAATTTTCCCTGGTAAAATAACGTTTTTCATGGAATCTGAGTCAAGCCCAAGTGAAGGTATACTGGCTCTTTGAGGCAGCGAGAGAATTTGTGTCTGTTTTCCAACACTCTATTCTTCATTACCCTGAACGGCCAGGAGAGCAGTAGGCACTTTGGAGATGAACAGAAAAAAGGGTGTGGGCTATCAGATAATGTGAGAACAATGTGAACTACTTCTCAGGCCAATTCTGACAACATGCTGAGCAGTTATTTGAAGATGGAGAAGATTTAATGCTTTTCAAGCTGCTCTCTCAGCCTATTTCTCTGCCAGTGACCTACTTTTCTTGGGCCAGTGTTTCAAATCAATTGTGTCTTTATTGTCCTCCGTGGAGCCCCCTCCCTGCTCAACCCTTGGACACTTGCACTCACCGAGGCCGTCGAAGGATGACGCCATAGTGCTGGCAGGCCAGCCCCACGGTGGGTGTGTACACGATGGGCATAAACCTCTCCACATCGGAACTGAGCACTCGGTAGAACAACTTCTCATTCCGGTCTTGGAGGGTCATGAGAATGATATACCTTGAAAGGGAAGAGAAGAAGCACGCTGATCTCAGGAACACAGGGTTGAGGCCAGGTGCTGCTGCTGGGTTGCAAGGGAGAAGCCCAGTGCAAGGTAGTGCAAAGCACCTGGGCTCCCCTTCAACTGCAATGACACAGTCACAGGCAAATCACTTGTTTTGAGTATGGAGGCAACAGCCGTGAAATGACATTAGTATGGCCTGCCTTACAACACTTACTAGTACATGCAGTGTAGGAACCATTCTACGTAGTTTACAATAACTCACTCAAGACTTGCCAATGCCTGGTGAGGTAGGTACTACAATTCTTTTTTTTTATTGTGAAAATACTGTACAGAGGGGTTACAATTACATGGGCAAGGTAATGAGTACATTTCTTTTTTTAAATTTTTCTTTTTTTAATTTATTTTATTTTATTTGTGAACATACTGTACAGAGGGGTTACAATTACATGGGCAGGATAATGCGTACATTTCTTACCAAGCATT